TAAATGGATTAAACGAATTAAGCTTTCGTTGAGTGGCCCGAGGAATGGACTGTCGTATGATGCCCAATTTATACGAATACTATGACCAAGCAGCAAAATATGACAAGCTGAAAATCAAGTATTTTCTGATTTGGGGCGTTTTTGGACGCCTGTATCTCGAAATCTTAACAGCAACTTTTTTTTTAACTTTCTCTATCGAGAGTCCATTCGATAGTCTTGTGAATTATGCCATCAAATATTTTCTGATTTTATCTCAAAAACTTAACCTACATTTTTTTTTTAACTTTCTCTATCGAGAGTCCTTGCGGTATTCTTGTGCATGAAAACATCCAATAAGTCTCTGAAATGTCTGGAATAGCATAAAAAAGGGACTGAAAATCGAAAAAAGTCGAAAAATCGTGAAATTTTAGAAAATGCTATATTATTTTATTATTTAATCAGATCGTTACGATAAGGTTACACATTCAGATAGCTGACCTAATTACGATTCTAACGATGTATAATATGTATTGAGTTATTGAAATTTAATTTTCGATATTTTGACATTTTTGAATTTTTGGCACTTTTGAACATAGGATTTCTGAGGGCCATTTTATCTGATCAGATAATGTAATATAGGGTCATACTATATACCGGAAAACACCGGGAAAACAACCGGAAAACACCATTTTATACTGAATACCGGAAAACACCGGAAAAACACTAAATACCGGAAAACATCCTAAATACCGGAAAACACCCTAAATAGGTAACCCGGAGCCTGGTCCTCTGTGTGCGGTTTTGGACCAAGTGAGCGCCGATGAAGGAAGGTCAAGGTCATTACGATGTTCGTTTTACAAATAGCCCCCCCCCCCAAAAAAAAAAAAAAAAAAAATATAAAAATTTCCGATTATTTTTCTCTGAAATTTTGTTGATGCCTATTATGTTTTGAATGTTTTAAAAGACACAATCAGTCTACCTCCATCATTGACCATATTTTATTTTGTATTTTAATTTTAGTTTTCAGTAAATTTCAGTAGATTTCAGTGTTTCAGTATTTCATTAGATTAAACACTGCCCTTGGAGGGCCCCATTATATGCCGGTTGCGCCGGTCTCCTGGTTCGAATTAGTGGAAGGCACGACTAGGCCAACTCCTCCCTAGGTAACAAAAAATCGCATCATAAAACAGCAAGTATCATCAAAAGCGAGTTAATAAATCTCTGAATAGTTCGAGTTGAAGTTCCAGGTTTAACCGCTATGTGTCCTAATCACCAAACGAAATGGATGCCAAGCAATTCTCGGACAGGCTGTAATCTGAAAAGTGTTTATCCTTTCCAAGAGCTGTCCATCCCGTTGGAAGGGCTAAAAATCTACTTGTTTCTGAGCTTACTTTCATTCCAGGGTCAAATATAATCACTTGAATCATAATAATATTCAACATATTCCATCATATTCCGAGGGCCGCACACAGGATTTTTTTCTGGATTACTTTTCGAGCTTTTTTCCCCAACTTGTTGACCAGTTTTCCTTGAGAAAACCCCAACTTTCGCCCAATTGTCCATGAGAAAACTACATAATCTATCTTACTGCATTGACGGGAAGTGGTAAGCTGGACGTCTGTGAAAAGGGTTGATCGATAAATTTTCAAGGAAGCAATTGTTGTTTTTGTTTGTGAAATAGAGGACTCTAGCCGATGAGGCTACTTTCCCCCCGAGAATCTCAGGCAACCAATTTGTTTTATGTACTACTATCGTAATAAAACATTACTATGTTAACCACTTCCTGGTGGCTGAAGACTTACACCGAATGCGTATTCGGAAAAAAATGTCCCCGAGAAAATGTTTTTTCCGACAATCGATATTTGCACATCTTTTGCACAAATTATGCTGCACTGTGTAAGAACTTGCATCCTTTGATCTGAAGATTGTAGATGGAAAAGTATCATTTGCACTATTTCAAAGTAAACCTGCATTTTCGTATATCATCCCGTAATTTGTGATTAATGACAATGACTGTGGAAATAATATGGGTTGAGGAACAGAAGATCTATGTTCGTCACGTGACTGGACAATTTCACCCAAGTCCCACCCTGACGATGATCCCTCCCTGAGCGGCGCGGCGCGCTCTCTAAAAAAGATTTGGGCACAGTTTACTCTTCTAAGTTTTCCGGTAGCTATTTAGTAACCCGGAGTTTGGTACTCGTGTGTGGTTTTGGACCAGGTGAGCGCTGATGAAATAAGTTCATTAACATACAAGCGAGCGATCGCCTACGGTCAAAGAAAAATTTCTTTTCAGATTTTTTTTAACAATTTCTTCTCCTAAATTTCTCTCAAAAAAAAAATTCAAATTTTTTTTCCAGTATTTTTCTCTGTAAAATTATTTTCTACGGAATGTTTTTTTGTAAAACCAATTTTTTTTGTGACAGAAAAATTTTGGAGAAAAAAAAATCGGAAATTTTTTTGGGGGGTGGGGGCTATTTGTAAAACGAACATCGTAATGACCTTGAACTTCCTTCATCGGCGCTCACTTGGTCCAAAACCGCACACAGAGGACCAGGCTCCGGGTTACCTATTTAGGGTGTTTTCCGGTATTTAGGATGTTTTCCGGTATTTAGTGTTTTTCCGGTGTTTTCCGGTATTCAGTATAAAATGGTGTTTTCCGGTTGTTTTCCGGTGTTTTCCGGTATATAGTATTGCCGTGTAATATATCATTACAGAGCCTTGTGGCTATCTAATTGCCCAAATTGGTTATTAAAACTATCCCGACGATAATCTCCATATCGGACGTATTCAAAAAATGGAGAAAAGGGTTAAAAAAAAATTAGCGCTCGTGCGAAAAACTTGATTTCTCCATCAGATCTTAGCGGACCAAAAGAACTAAAGTGTCGCTGGATAGTCCCATTAATGGACTTTCATATGACATCTGAATGATACGATTTAGATGGCTAGAAAAAAAATTATGGTACGCCGTAAATCTAGTATTTTCCGTTTTGGAGCATTTTTAGAGGACTTTTTCTCAAACACAACAACTACGTTTCTTCTTAAACTTTTTTTTATCTCAGAGTCCTATGGGTGGGCTATGGCATGTAATATATCATTACAGAGCCTTGTGGCTATCTAATTGCCCAAATTGGTTATTAAAACTATCCCGACAATAATCTCCATATCGGACGTATTCAAAAAATGGAGAAAATGACATCTGAATGATACGATTTAGATGGCTAGAAAATAAATTATGGTACGCCGAAAATCTAGTATTTTCCGTTTTGGAGCATTTTTAGAGGCCTTTTTCTCAAACACAACAACTACGTTTCTTCTTAAACTTTTTTTTATCTCAGAGTCCTATGGGTGGGCTATTGCCGTGTAATATATCATTACAGAGCCTTGTGGCTATCTAATTGCCCAAATTGGTTATTAAAACTATCCCGACAATAATCTCCATATCGGACGTATTCAAAAAATGGAGAAAAGGGTTAAAAAAAAATTAGCGCTCGTGCGAAAAACTTGATTTCTCCATCAGATCTTAGCGGACCAAAAGAACTAAAGTGTCGCTGGATAGTCCCATTAATGGACTTTCATATGACATCTGAATGATACGATTTAGATGGCTAGAAAATAAATTATGGTACGCCGAAAATCTAGTATTTTCCGTTTTGGAGCATTTTTAGAGGCCTTTTTCTCAAACACAACAACTACGTTTCTTCTTAAACTTTTTTTTTATCTCAGAGTCCTATGGGTGGGCTATGACATGAGTCCAAAAATAAAAGCATTGAAATAACATAAGTTATCCAAAAAGAGCCTCAATCTTGGAATAAAGTTGAAAAATCCTTAGATTACTGAAAATGATCTTCTAATTTTCTTTCTTTGGAAAACAGCTGAATGGATTATTCTGAAACTTCTTGTACAGAAGGTAAGGTAACCAAACAACTTGTTAAAGCTATCCCGACAATGATCCAAAAACCGGTAGTCGATAAAATTTCCGATATTTTGAGAAAAAAAAACGTAAAAAGTAAAAATATGGTGATCTTGCGAAAAAAGTGATTACTACGCCAGATTTCACCGAATCAAAACAACTAAAGTGTCATTTGATTGTTCGAACAATGGACGATCTTATGACATCTAAATGGTAAAAATTCGCGGGTTAGGCAATATATAACGGAACGCTGAAAATCTATTATTTTCCTTTTTGGAGCCTATTCAGACGCTTTTATTTCGAAAACTTCTCTTATTTCCTTTCTTAAATTTCTATAACTTAGAGTCCTAACGGTGGTCTATGGTGTGAATCCAAATTTAAAAGCCTCAATATAGTATAAATGGTCCAAAAGGGCCACAATCTTTGAAAAAAAGTCGAAAAATCGTTATATCTGTAAATCTGCTTCTAATGGTATAAGGGAGGTAAAACTGTCCAATGGATCTTTCTGAAACTTCTGGTACAGGAAGTTAAGTTCTCATACCACTTGTTAAATCTATCCCGATAATGATCCGTAAACAGGAAGTAGTCAAATAAATATTCGATATTTAAAAAAAAAGACAGTAAAAAAAATCGATGCTCTTTCAAAAATCGGCATTTCACCGTCGGGTGTGACCGGATCAAAACATCTCAAATATTGTTTGGTAGCTCGATAAATGGGCTATTGTATGACACACTTCCTGTCTGATTCCTGAGAGCCGGTTCAGTGCTGCTTGCAGGTCTAGTTACTATTATTATCTGACCAGTTGACTTTTACTCGTATGAACAGTTTTGGACACCCACTGTGAGTGTGACCCACTACAAATTTGGGGGGTCAAACCTTTTGTAACTGATGGCCATATTATTTTGTAATTAGATTATGAATATTGACTGTCGGAGTCACTTCTCTGCAGGTAGGGTGGGTTTGTCGTTCAGATTGGTTAAGTTCTTGTCCAAATCCGAATGAATTGAACAAAAATATAAAGTGAGTCATTCGTGTCTTTCCAGTGTCAAATTCCCATAGAGGGCGCTTTTCCGTTAGGTCGCGCGTCAACATAGCCTCGCACATCCAAGCCGGCATCGTTCGTAATATCGTTGATAAATGTTTCTGGAAGTAAGGGTCTATAACAGGAAAGTGGAGTTTTAACAGGTGGGGTCTATTTGTTGAAAAGTTGAATTTGAATAGTATTAGCGAAAGAAACATTCCACTATTTTGAGACTTAAAACAGGTAATTTAAAAGCCGAGAGTTTGAAAACTGATAGATAATACCAGGAATTAGATCAAAGGTCTTGTTCTTCAGAGAAAGGCATCGTATTCGTAAGGTCGAATAATCCGTGAAAGGAATGTCATTCCTAATAAGGACATACGTAAACTTTTCAAGTCTAGTTTATGAATCGATCATTATGTGTAGGATAAAGCACGAGACTAAGGTTATAATTATGCTGGGGAAAGAAAGACTGAAGAAAATAACCCGAGAAAAAGAAAAACCGAGGCCGGCAGACCGAGGTTTTTCTGTCGAGGTTTTTTTTCTGAAGTCTTTCTTTCCCAGCATAACCGAAGTCGAGGACTTTACTTAAAGGCTCAATACCACTCTTGTTGTAACTGAATAATATGCCCCAATCTTTATTCTGGTCAACAAATTGTACTATTTTAGAATATTTCAATTAATTGATGATACAAATTTCATCTTAACACACCTTATTTAAAATTTTTGAAAAATTCAACATAATGGTTTGAAACGTCTAACGTGAACCTTTTCAAATGAAACTTCGATTTAAAAATAGTTTCGAACCCTCTGGACAATTGAAATAGGATGTAATGGATAATTTACACAACAGGTAGGACACTTAAACATCTAGTACTTCGAGATATTATTTATTTTCTGGAGCTTTCAAGCCAGCAAGAGTGTCATTGTCCCTTTAAAATACTTTATCAGTTTATCTTGCTTATAACCCGTCTATGTTTACATGTACGCAAGATGAGAAGATTACATGTCATTTCGGTCCCGCGTCATTTCGGACTTACGTCATTTCGGACTCCAAAAAATATGTCCCCGACATTTCGGACTCGGGTAGGTGACATTTCGGACTCGGGTAGGTGACGTTTCGGACTCGGGTAGGTGACGTTTCGGACTCGGGTAGGTAAGATAGAATTATACAACACACTGACGCCAATTTACTTTATGAACTATTTTATTTATCAACATAGCATAAAATGATAACATCGATTTATAACAACGGGCATATTATTTTATTTTTAAACATACCATATAGCGATAACAACGGTCATATAAAACATTCATTTATTGTATAAATACATACACATTCATACATTAACGCAACATTTATAACAACACGTGTATTTATTTGATGAAAAAATAGCTTTAGTCGGCTATTCATTTTTTTTTTTTTTTTTTTTCATTTTTTTAATTATGTAATTGTTTTTCACTGAGCGGGTGGACCATACAAATGACTTATTTTTTTTAATAGTCTACTAGTGCTCATCTGTTTTTCATTGTATGAATCCCATATATTAAAAAGTTGGCCTTCTACATGTCGATACCGACGTCTTTGGTGTCGTCTCAATGAACCTTCCGACATCATTGTGAGGTCCAGTGGTATCTTTGTAGCTTCTGAAAAAAGTGCGCAAATCAATAGATAAAATGGCACAGGACCTCTGGCGTTGACACGGGAATTTAGTCTGTTGTGCCAGCCCTCCACGTCGTTATTGGTTCTCACTGGCAACATAAACACGCACCAATCTTCTATTGGAAACAGACGAGATGAAATCCATTGATCTTCTATGTATGTACATATCGGCTCTAACTGTTCTGGGCACCTGTCTTTCAAATGGGCAAACATGCCCGCCACGTGTTCTTCGGGCAGGAAAGGGAGAGCCATCAATCGCCTCAAATAATTAAACACGTCCCCCTTTTCGTTGTACGCTGTCTGAAATAATAAAATATTAGAAATATATTAATACTGAAAATCTATTTGTGCACTTGTACTTTAAAAGAAGATATTATAATAAGAATTTTTTTATTTTACTATAAGAAGATTTATTATAAGAAGAACGCACAACATACCTGGAATCCCTTTTCTTGAATTTTCCGGAAAACGGCCTGGGTCCAATGAAACACGCATCCTTGAATTCTTATATCTACAAAACGGCGTCTAAGGGCCTGCCATAACCCCGCCTCAAAATCCACCACAAATCCCTCCAAGGCAATCTGGCTTGGTAGCATCTTGTCCACTGCCCGGAGAACACATCTACAGCATTTCCATTCAAAAGCAGTTCTATGTCGGTTTAAACTCCTGTACTCATCCCGAGTGATGCCTGAAATAGTGATAAATAAAATAATAATATTCCCGGATTGCGGGTACGTGTCAATAAATAACAATAACGACAAATTTATAACGTTTCAATAAATAACAATAACTTACAAGCTGAAACGACAAATTTATAACGTTTCAATAAATAACAATAACTTACAAGAAACGACAAATTTAAAACGTTTTAATAAATAACAATAACTTACAAGAAACGACAAATTTAAAACGTTTTAATAAATAACAATAACTTACAAGAAACGACAAATTTAAAACGTTTTAATAAATAACAATAAAGAAAATTTCATTACGTACCGGAATCGCAGGTTCGATGTTGCCATAAAAGACAAGAATCGCACTGGAGGCCTTCTTGTCGAGGACGGACAGGATTGGTACACTTTACGCAATTTCCACTAGCCATGATAGATTCGTGTAAAAATTGAGAATGATTTGAATTGAAATATGGCACATATATATAATACATTTGAGCTTGGGCTCAATCATTTCTTAACGGCTTCATTAATCTCAGCTTGCTTTCATTAATCAACACCAGATTAAATACGAGTTGCAGTGTTTTTATTTCTCAATCATTTCTTAGCGGCTATTAGAAACGCCGATCAGTGTTTTTATTTCTCAATCATTTCTTAGCGGCTATTAGAAACGCCGATCAATTATCGCTATTAATCTTAAATACAACAATGGGATGGTTTCACTAATCGCTGGATTCACTAATCGCTAGATTAAAACAACAATCGCGGATCGATTATCGTCAATTTACTCATCAAAATACAATAATATCCGATCAAGTAAATAAACAAATACAAAAAAGGCAAGTAGCATAGGTTTTACTTCAAGTTCAAGTTCAAAGGCGTGTTGTCAAGTAATGGCCTGTATGGGATAAATAAAACAAGACTAACAATGTTTAAATCTTTATTAATGTGAATGGTCTGTCTTGAGCCTCACCTACAACGAAAGAAAAACAGCTATTACTAATATATACACACATAATTTTAAGTTTTATTTGAGTCCGAGTCCGAGTCCGAAATGTCGCCGGTCCGAGTCCTAAATGTCGTTTGACTGAGTCCGAAATGACACCGAGTAAGTCCGAAAAGTCGCCATACTGAGTCCGAAACGACGTTTGTGCTGAGTCCGAAATGACGCGGGACCGAAATGACGTGCTACCGATGAGAATATCCCAGAATTCCCGTAAGAAAAACCTTATATCATGTTTTCTTATGGGAAAAAAACGGATGTATGCGGGTCAGTTCATCCCACGACCGTTTCACCCCGGGCTATTTCATCCCAAACTATTTTTTTATTGGGCTGTTTCATCCCCCTCGTTATTAGAATAGCAGTTAATTAACTGAGTTGTACTTATTGTTAAATAAACTGTTAAACACTTATTTATTGTTAAATAAACATGTACTTTCGGGTAGACTAATCACCAGAATTCACCGGAATTCATTTACAATCACCGGAATTCACTTCTAAAAATCCCCGATTCCTCCTACAAAACTCACTTATTTTAAATGTATAATACATTTTGATCTCTCCACAGGCCAGATAAAGGCGCTGTAGGTGAATTTATTTGAAAGACTACCGGAATTCATTTCAAATATATGCATCATGATTATGATAACGTAGGGCGCGTCGTATTACTTTTACTCAATAGGCTGAACTCCAAAATAACACATAATAACAATTCGCTCGAATTACCCAATACGGTGTTTCATGGTTACCCATGATCCTTTGCGCGTTGGAGTAGTTCCGGTTTAACGCAGACGTCATTGGCTATGGCGAGTCACTGCGTCCAAGTGCAAAGTCAAATTTCATATGTAAACAAACAAGAAATTATAAGGTCGCTGAAAGCATTCAGGAAGAAATATGGAGGTGGACAGTTTTGTTGTGTTCCCAACTGCAGTAACCAGCGAGGAAAGGATAAAATTAATAATGTGAAAAGATCCTATTATAGATTTCCAAAGCACAACAACAAACAGTTCAGATTATGGATGACAGCGATCCGACGTGATGATTGGGATTATCGTAACTGGCACAGGGTCTGTTCAGATCATTTTAAAGGAGGTAGGTCTAACTTGTTTTCTTTTTGATCACACATTATATCTAGATATAGAGTTGTGTTTTCCGCTGCAGTAAGAGTGGGATAATACAATAAATAGGAAATAATATCTATATATAGCCAATATATTATAGGCCCTATATCATTTGGTTTAGGCCTAAAGTAACAAGTACTAAGTGGAAGTCATTATATTTTTTTACATGAAGATATCTAACATAGGTTTATGTAAATTAAAGCTTCCCTCCCCAGTTTTGAAGGAAGAATGTCACACCCCCGCCTCCCTCCCCTAGAGTCTAGGCTAGAGCAGTGGGGTTCGATGGCTAAATGGTAAGCACGTACGTGCGCGCTGTACAATAAAGTCTGTACGTCATTCACTCATTTAGTCAACTGGCGTGGTTTCGATTCCCTGGTTGTACGTGACAAGGAGTAGGGTCGCTTGTCCAACCTCGTGGCTTTTCTCCGGGTTCCTCCCACTGCTAAAGACTCCTACGTCACGTGCAAGCGAATTATTAAAATAAAATTGAACCGAATGTTATTCCCGAAATGACCTAGTTTGTGTCGAGTGGACGTTAAACCCCATTTCTCTCTCTCTCTTTCCTCCCACTGCTAAAGACCCCTACGTGCAAGCGAATTATTAAAATAAAATTGAACCGTATGTTATTCCCGAAATGACCTAGTTTGTGTCGAGTGGACGTTAAACCCCATTTCTCTCTCCCCTAGATAGGCCTTTTTTAGTACCTAAATTAGGGAATGAGTGAAATGGGGTTTAACGTCCTACTTTTTTTTAACTAATCTACATGTATGATCGAAATTTATCAGAATTAGAAAATGAATATTTGATAGCATTATATAGTATAGCCTTGTATTTTTAGGTAAAAAAGGAAGTAATCCCTCAGGCCCAGGCTTTGTTCCAACAGTATTTTCGTTCAAAAAGGAACCAACACCAAGGCCCAGCAGAAATTCTAGTAGACCTGTCTTGTCTCCACTGAAAGAACATCAGAATTCATCCATCCCACCCAAGAAGCGTTGCTGCCTTACATTTTCACAGTCCTTACAGACTAAAGGTTTGGAAAAACATGCTCTTCTTACCCCACAGCCGGAAGGTCATGATTATATTGTTACAAAAATGCAAGAAATGGATGAAGCAATCAGAACATTTTTACCAGAGATAGAAGCAAAAATGAAAAAACTGGAGAATTTAGAAAAATTAAATGAAATTTACAGAAATCAAGTTTTAGATTTGGATCAGATAAAGAGCAATCCCCAAAAAATGCAATACTGGACTGGTTTTCCAAATTATGAAACATTTCTTGCATTGTTTGAATTTCTTGAGCCACGTGCGCAAAACATGAAGAACTGGAGAGGAAATACTACTCTTCAAACAGAAAATTTTACTAAATTTTACACAAACAAGCCAGGTCCAGACAGAAAGATGAGTTTACTGGATGAGTTTTTCCTAACTATGGTGCGGTTAAAATCACCACTTCTAACTGAAGACTTGGCTCAGAGGTTCAGTATTTCAATTGGAACAGTATCGTCAATATTCAGTTCATGGATAAACTTAATGTACAGTGACCTTAAACTGTTGTGTGAACTTTCAACTCGAGACATCACCGAGGAGAACCAGTCACATGCTATGGGTTCATATAAAGATGTTAGAGTAATACCCGATTGCACCGAGTTGTTTGTTCAAAACCCAAGTAAATTAGAAGAAAAGAAACAGTTTTTTTCAAATTACAAACATCACAACACTTTCAAATTTCTTGTTGGCATCAGCCCCCAGTTAGGAATAACATATGTTAGTCGTGCCTATGGTGGTCGTGCTTCAGACAGACATATTACATCTGATTCAGCAGATCTGTTGCAGAGACCTGAGATTAATAAAGGGTCTGTTATGGCAGACAGAGGTTTTGTAATTGAAGGTATCTTAAGTGATATGGGAGTGAAGTTACATATGCCATCATTTAAGGGAAGAGAGAGACCCCAGTTGTCTGCTAAAGAAGGGTCATTGTCCAACACGATCTCAAGTGTGCGTATCCATATTGAACGTGCAATTCAGCGTATCAGAATGTATCACATTTTGCATGGGGAACTACAGTTGTCAATGAAACATATAGCTGAGCAAGTGTTTACTGTATGTGCATATTTAGTTAATTTTCAAACTCCTATTGTGAAGTCTTAGGCAACTAAACATACTACTGCAGCAGCTAAGTCGTCCAGGTAGTCAACAAGTGATGTCAAATATTTTTTCTTTTGTCAGTAATGAAAACATTTACAACTCACTTTTAAACTCAGGAAAAAGTAACAACCCACCCATTAAGTAATTATCAGAAATCATTAGAATTTGTTTCAATTGTTTGTCTCAATGCCTTTATAAATTATACTGTGCATAATTTTATATTAACTTTAACTTCTAGCACGTCCGCAAGATTTCTCAAGTGATCAAGGGTCATAACTCTGGCAGTAATTATCTGAAATCGTTGAAAAGCAATAGGCTACTCCGTCTCATGACCGTAAATACTGTGTATAAATTTAAAGTCTATTGGACATTTAACTTAGCCTCTAGAGCATAATTATTGGGCGTATCAAAAGCACATTGTACATATACATGTACGTATCCTGTACATGTATGTGTAGGCCTACTTATTTGATATTTTGCTGTACATAAGGTTAATTGCTATAAATATTATTAGTTGTAGGACGTTAAATTACATTTCATTTATTGTACTTGTTATAAATATTATTCTAATTGTTATATAAATATCATTATTTTAATTGTTATAAATTGTGATTATTTTAATTGTTATAAATTGTGATTATTTTAATTGTTATAAATTGTGATTATTTTAATTGTTGTATGTTATAAATATTAATTGTTGAACAATTGAATATTTAGTGCTAGAATTAAAATATTTTGTTTAATAAATTGTGACATTTAAATGTTTTCATTCGTTTTCTTCATTATCGAAACAAAGTTAATAAGCAAGTTTCTCTATTCTAATTCTGTCCAAGTTTAATGATTCTGACTTAAATCAAATTTACCTGTGCAAGTACATGTACGCGTGTACATCATTTAAGAAAAGACAGACAAGTTTTGTTTATTAACCAGGGGGCCTCAGGTTCGCTCCCGATGTTGCCTATCTTCATAAGCCCAGTCAGTGCAGAAAAGTAGGACGTTAAACCCCTTTTCATTATCAGATCTTTTTTTTCTTTTATAAATTTGATATCCCAAAGATCTCAGTTCCTGTCGATCTTTACGCACATCAAACCGTAATTTCCTGGATTATGACCCCTGAATGTATGAAAAATTGTTTTTTTCACTTCTCCTAGAGGTCACACTTTTTATCCTGTCAATATCTGTGCACATTGGTCTGTAATTTCCTGAATTATGCCCTGAATGTATGAAAAATCATGTTTTTCATGTTTTAAAAAACGTTTAAATTTATCACCGTTACACCATAATGCCAGCTGAGTTAGACTTTCATGAAAATCAGACCAATACTGCCTGACAAAATGGCCGCTCTCTGTAAGCAAAAGGGTTATGGACCCTGTAGAGGTCACAATTTTTATCCGATTTCAATGACACTTAAAATAAATGTGTATATTCCAAAGAACTGGGTTCCATTTGATGCTTGAGTGTATCGGATCAGAACTTCCTGGATTATGGCAACTGATTTTACGTAAAATCAATTTTTATACGCCTACAGGTCACAATTCTTATCCGAATTTAACGAAACTTGAAATATAGGTGTATCTCCAAAAGATCTCAGCTGCTTTCGATATTGGCATGTATCGGATCGAAACTTCATGGATTATGGCCCCTGTTTGTACGAAAAATCACGTTTTTGGCTTGTGGACCCTATAGAGGTCACAATTTTTATACGCCCAAATTTTCATGTGGACGTATTATGCCGTCGCCCCTGTCCGTCCGTCCGTCCACAATTTGTTTGTGGACACTCTACAGGTCACAATTCTTATCCGATTTTAACGAAACTTAAAATATAGGTGTATCTCCAAAAGATCTCGGCTACTTGCGATATTGGCATGTATCGGATCGAGACTTCATGGATTATGGCCCCTGTTTGTACGAAAAATCACGTTTTTGGCTTTTGGACCCTATAGAGGTCACAATTTTTATCCGATTTTGTTGAATCTTGAAATGTAAGTTTATAACACAAAGATCTCAGTTCCTTTCGACATTCGCGCATATCAGACCATAACTTCCTGAATTATGCCCCCTGATTGTACGAAGAATCGCGTTTTTAGCTAGTGGACCCTATAGAGGTCATAATTTTTATCTGATTTAAAAAAACGTATTATTATATCACCGTTAAACCCTAAGAACAGCTGAGTTCGAATTTCGTGAAGGGGGGTTGGGTGGCTGAATGGTTAGCACATGCGCGCTGTACCATAAAGTCTGTCATTGAGTCAACTGGCGTGGTTTCGAATCCCCGGTTGTATGTGGCAAGGAGTAAGGTGGCCTGTTCAACCTCGTGGGTTTTCTCCGGGTCCTCCGGTTTCCTCCCACTGCTAAAGACCCCTACGCGCAAGCGAATTATTGAAATAAAGTTAAAAACCATGTGTTAGTCCCGAAATGACCTAGTTTGTGTTGAGTGGACAGTAAACCCCATTTCTCTCTCTCGAGAGAGAGGCTAAAGTTAAAATCCGGTTGACTTTAAATTTATACACAGTGTTTAAGGTCATGAGACGAAGAATCCTATTGATTTTCAGCGATTTCCGATAATTACTGCCAGAATTATGGCCCTTGATCACTTCAAAAAATCTTGTGGACGCTCTAGAGGTCAAATTTAATATCCAATTGACTTCAAATTTATACACAGTGTTTAAGGTCATGAGACGAAGAAGCCTATTGATTTTCACCGATTTCCGATAATTACTGCCAGAGTTATGGGCCTTGATCACTTCAAAAAATCTTGTGGACGCTCTAGAGGTCAAAGTTAATATCTGATTGACTTCAAATTTATACACAGTGTTTAAGGTCATGAGATGAAGAAGTCTATTGATTTTCAGTGATTTCCAATAAATACTGCCAGAGTTATGGCCCTTGATCACTTTGAAAAATCTTGTGGACGCTCTAGAGGATAAAGTTAATATCCGATTGACTTTAAATTTATGCACAGTGTTTAAGGTCATGAGACAAAGAAGCCTATTGATTTTCAGCGATTTGCGATAATTACTGCCAGAGTTATGGCCCTTGATCACTTTGAAAAATCTTGTGGACGCTCTAGAGGCTAAAGTTAATATCCGATTGACTTTAGATTTATACACAGTGTTTGAGGTCATCAGATGAAGAATCATATTGATTTTCAACGATTTCGGATATTTACTGCCAGAGTTATGGCCCTTGATCACTTTGAAAAATCTTGTGACGCTCTAGAGGCTAAAGTTATCACCGATTGACTTCAGATTGGTACACAGAGTTTAAGGTCTTGAGACGAACAAGTATATTGATTTTCAATGAATCCATGATGTTAAAAGTTTTGTTTACTAAACATTAGCATGGGACAGAACTTTATAAAATCCAAACAAATTCTAATGGTTTTCTGATAATTACTTAATGAGTTGTTACTCTTAATCAGATTTTAATGTATTATAAATGTTTCATTACCGAAAAAAGTAAAAATATGCGACAACTCTTGTTGACTGCCCGGACGATATAGCTTCTGTGGGCGTATGTTTCGTTGCCTGTCAACCTATCTTTATCTGATTTTGTTGAAACTTGAAATGTAAGTTTATAACCCAAAGATCTCGGTTCCATTCAATATTTGCACATATCGAATTGTAATTTCCTGAATTATGGCCCTTGATTGTAGGAAAAATCACTTTCTTTTTAGCTTGTTCTCAGTCCCTTTCGATATTCGCGCATATCGGACTGTAACTTCCTGAATTATGGCCCCTGATTGTACGAAAAATCAAGTTTTTATATGCCCACATTTTCATGTGGACGTATATTGTCGTAGCCCCTGTCCGTCCGTCTGTCCACAATTGTTTGTGAACAGTCTAGAGGTCACAATTTTTATCCGATTTCAATGAAACTTGAAATATAGGTTTTATCACCCTAAGATCTCGGTTCCTTTCGATATTGGCATCTATCGGACCGTAACTTCATGGATTATGGCCCCTGATTGTACGAAAAATCACGTTTTTGGCTTGTGAAACTTGAAATGAAAGTTTATAACCCAAAGATCTTGGTTCCTTTCAATAATCGTGCATATCGGACCGTAACTTCCTGAATTATGGCCCCTGATTTTTATATCACCGTTATACCCTAAGGACGGTTGAGATCGAATTTCGTGAAAATCGGCCCAAAACTGACAGACAAAATGGCCACCGTTCGTTCTCAAATAGCGTAAAAATATGGCATATCAAGGTTGTGGACCCTATAGAGGTCACAATTTTTATCCGATTTTGTCGAAACTTGAAATGTAAGTTTATAACACAAAGATCTCGGTTCCTTTCCATATTCGCGCTTATCGGACAGTAACTTGATGAATTATGGCCCCTGATTGCACGCAAAAACACGTTTTTTGGCTTGTGGGCCCTATAGAGGTCATAATTTTTATCCGATTTAAAAAACCGTATTATTATATCACCGTTACACCCTAAGGACGACTGAATTTGAATTTCGAGAAAATCGGATCAAAATTGACAGACAAAATAGCCGCCGTTCGTTCTCAAATAGCGTAAAAATATGGTATATCAAGGTTGTGGACCCTATAGAGGTCACAATTTTTATCCGATTTTGTTGAAACTTGAAATGTAAGTTTATAACCCAAAGATCTTGGTTCCTTTCCAGGGTATGAAATAAGCCTCTTATATGGTAACCTCAAAATAGGTTACGCTAATCTGCATCAAATTTGAACTGGTAACCTATAGGTTACGATGCCATATTTGTTTAGAGCCGACCCTCGAATTAGCCTAGGGGGATTTGGGGCCAATTAAAAGATTAGCCAGCTACCCCTAAGCTTATTAAATCAGCAGGGCCCATATCCCTAAGCGAATTAGTGGATTATTGTTAATCCTAAAACTCTCTACAAAATTGCAAATAACTAAATAAAAATTTTTTTTATACAAAAATGTACAGATTGTCGTGTTCTTTCCAATGATATAAAATTCAATTGTACAAACTAACAATTACCGGTATATTACTATAAATAATATTGAAAAGTCAGTTCCACTAAAATTATGACTTTTCTCTGTCATAATAAACGTGAACATGTATCTCCTAAGATTTTATTTTAAAAAAAAGAACAGTGTTCAAAGTAAATATAAATATATAACTTTTAGAAAGAAATATCGCCCCAAATGACCGTCACTTCATCACTATGTGACATTTCTGCCTTTGTTGGATATATGGTGGGAATTGTCGTCTTCTTTGCTTCATAGCATCGAAAATAAAAATATATAGTTGAAATCTTCGGCAATGTAATATTCCTCTATGTAGCTTGTATTAAATCCTAAAAGTTTTGATTCAATTTAGCTTTCCAAACTCTAGAATTATTATCCGTAAGTTTTGTGGTATCGTCTGTCTGGAAACGTATCCAAGATATGGTGGCCGACACGCTTGATCTCGGCTGCTTCGCATCATTCATAACGTCCCCCAAAAATAACAAATAGTTGATTTCTTCGACATTATCATGTTCTACGATATACATGGCAGTAAATCATAAAAAATCTGATTCCATTTCACTTTCCATGTCATAAAATTATTAGCCGTGAGTGACAACGTGAAAATATTGGAATAATGCCAAAGTCATTGACACGGTGTGAATTTTCACCTCTGACCTATTACGTAAATACCGGAAGATCCATTGTTGAAAAGTATGTTTTTTATTTGATAATTTGCGAATATAACATTCCTTTTCATTGGGTGTTTTATTTTTATTACTCAATCACCATTTATTTAAGAAATAAAAACAATAGAAATCAGTTGATTGATCTGGCGCTTTCGTTCGCAAAAGAGGCAAATGAGTATGTCGTTGCCAGGTATGATGGGTCCGCGAGTTGATTTGCTACCGCCAAAATGACAGGTGCGAACTTAACGATCTTTCAGGCATTTATTTATAATTGTAAAATGTTTTAATGTAGTAGTGAAGGGAATATTTTAACTGAAACCTTTAGTTTATAAATTATAGCTCGGTGGTCGAGAACGGAAGTCCGTTCGCGTGTTTCCAGGTCATGGTAACCGATGCGTAACCTGAACGACCGTTCGCGTGTTATTTCGTACCCTGCTTTCAATATTTGCGCATATCGGACCGTAACTTCCTGAATTATGGCCCCTGATTGTACGAAAAATCGCGTTTTTAGCTTGTGGACCCTATAGAGGTCATAAATTTTATCCGATTTAAAAAAACATATTATTATATCACCGTTACACCCTAAGGACGGCTAAGTTCGAATTTCGTGAAAATCGGCCCAAAACTGACAGACAAAATGGCCGCCCCTCGTTCTCAAATAGCTTAAAAATATGGTATATCAAGGTTGTGGACCCTTGAAATGTAAGTTTATAATTCAAAGATTTCGGTTCCTTTCGATATTTGCGCATATCGAATTGTAATTTCCTGAATTATGGCCCTTGATTGTAGGAAAAATCACTTTCTTTTTAGCTTGTTCTCTATCCATCTCTCAAAAATGTGGGCGTATTCTGCCTGGCAGCCGCTGGTTTAAAATTTTTTTAAAATTCTATTTTAGCTTATTCTCTGTCCATCTCTTGTAAAATGTGGGTTTATCTTGCCTGCCAACCGTTTGTTTTTTTGCAGATTATCAAGATGTCTAGTAGAAAAACAAAAGGAAAGACTACCAAAAAAAGGGCCCAGAGAGCTACTTCAAATGTCTTCGCGATGTTTGATCAGTCTCAAATTCAGGAATTCAAAGAGGCCTTTAATATGATAGATCAAAATAGAGATGGTTTTGTTGATAAAGAAGATCTTCATGATATGTTAGCTTCCTTAGGTAATTCAAATAAGATCTTCATGATATGTTAGCTTCCTTAGGTAATTTAAATAGCCCTGGAGGGTTTTCCATGGTCTAAAACTAATAATTAACAATTTTCAGCTTCCTAGGTCAAATAAATCCTGTTTTCTATGGCTGTAATCGCGTGAATGGAAATCCCCGGAAATGTGACATCAGAGCAGTATTTTACCGCAAGTGTCTCCTGTACATAAACGGTAATTGCGCTTATATTTCAATAACTTTTGAGTCAGATTATTTGCATATATTGAGATTGATATCAAAGTATTATAATACAATCGCTAGTAATATACTATTCAAAAAAAGTAGGGGATATTTGATTTTTAAGTGTTATTAAAGTCACCTAATGAAACTGACGAAGAAACAAATGACAAAATGAAATGAAGTTCACATTCATCGATTTATTCCAAATGATTGTTAGACCAAGTAAGGCACAGACTGACCATTATAAGGGTAAAATGATACCCGGGGTCAAACAGCAAAGTTACCACAGCATCACAACCAAGTCAGTAACGGGTAAATCCTCCTCTGTTTGCCAAACAAGCATTGATCCGACGTGGCATACTCCTAATGAGACGTTTAAGGTCATTTTGGTCCAGATTGTCCCATTCCTGTTGCAACGCAGCAGCAAGTTCTTGGACATTGGCAGGACGTTGTTGACGTTGACGTAACCTCTGTCCAAGCATGTCCCAGACATGCTCGATGGGGGAGAGGTCGGGACTCAGTGCTGGCCAAGGTAATGTGGTGATGTTTTGTTGTTGGAGGTAACCTGTAACGATCCTGGCCCTGTGACATCTTGCGTTGTCATCCTGGAAGATGAAACGGCGGCCATGACGTCGTGCGAACGGCACAACATGGACTGCCAGGATGTTGTCCCGGTAGTACTGGCCTGTAACACGCCCTGCAACAACATGTAAAGCCGTTCTTCCAGCAACAGTGATGCCTCCCCACACCATAACAGAACCACCCCCAAATCGATCATGTCTGATGACGTTAACGTCTTGGAAGCGCTCGTTTCGATGACGCCACACCCTCCTACGTCTGTCCAAAAAATCAACAGTGAACCTTGACTCAACTGAAAACATCACATTGCTCCAGCGTCGATTATCCCAGTGTTGACGATCCCTACACCAACGACGTCTTGCCTGAATGTGATGATCTCTCAAACAAGGGATCATGCGAGGACGTCGGGCGCGAAGGTGACCCCTATGCAGTCGATTCCGAATCGTCTGGCCACTCACTGTCACACCAGTGTCTGTTTGAAGACGAGCGCTGATCTGATTTGCTGTGATGACACGATTTCTCAAGGCCAAGGTACGGATAAATCGATCCTGGGCTTGAGTTGTCGCCCTTGGTCGACCTGAGTGTGGTCTGTCCTGTACAGATTGTGTATCACGGTATCTGGACCATAGCCTGCTTATGACAGACTGAGAAACATTCATCGTCCGCGCCACAAACGCCTGTGTTGTGCCGATCTGTAGCATGCCAAGGGCACGTAACCTTTCATTTTGGGTAAGCCGACGCATATCAAAATTTGTTTTCTGGTCACTAAAACAATTAAACTGATGTTTCCATCCTGGAATTCAATGCCACAATGACTGTAACATTCAAAGTCAGAGTCGTGCAAATCTTGGGTTGGACCCCCATGATGATCCCAAGCATCACCTGCATTCCATGCGGTAGCTATTGGTGCGTTTGGGCGTCACATGTAACTCGAAATGTTTCTTCTGTTAGGTTCTATAGTGACTTTTTTCGTAGTCATTTGCATATTTTAGTATTATGCCCCCAAAATCAAATATCCTCTACTTTTTTTGAATAGTATATATTTAACTGAAAAAGTAATCCAAAATCGCAGATTTAAAGTCGGCTAATTTCAGTCAACAGCTTCCGATTTCATGCTTAAATCACGTGGCATGAAATGTTTACTCTTTGTCAGAGAATTGTCAAAATCGCATAGATCACAGGAGTCTGACCTTTCATCCGTATATATATATATATATATGGATACACCGAACTAGACAATATATATAATAAAAAAAAGAACAGAAATGCAATGCCTGTTGAGACCTCGATTTTACCTGCTCTCGCTTCGGCTCGCTTTTTTGTCCCCCGCCTTTCGAAGAAAGCAGGGGACTATTAAAATGGGTTCGTCCGTCTGTCTGTCTGTCTGTCCGTCTGTCTGTCCGTCACACTTTTTGGGACACAATAACTCTCTTCCTAATTGAGCTAGAATGTTCAAACTTGGTGTATGTGTTTATTAGGTCAATGCCTTGATGGAGTTCGAAGATGAGCATTTTCCGCTTAGGGTAAGCAGAGATAAGCAATTTGATTGGTTGATGCTTTGGGACACGATAACTCTCTTCCTAATTGGGCTAGAATGTTCAAACTTGGTGTATGTGTTGATTAGGTCAATGCCTTGATGGAGTTCGAAGATGAGCATTTTCCGCTTAGGGTAAGCAGAGATAAGCAATTTGATTGGTTGATGCTTTGGGACACGATAACTTTTAATTGAGCTAGAATGTTCAAACTTGGTGTATGTGTTTATTAGGTCAATGCCTTGATGGAGTTCGAAGATGAGCATTTTCCGCTTAGGGTAAGCAGAGATAAGCAATTTGATTGGTTGATACTTTGGGGCACGATAACTCTCTTCCTAATTGAGCTAGAATGTTCAAACTTGGTGTATGTGTTGATTAGGTCAATGCCTTGATGGAGTTCGAAGATGAGCATTTTCCGCTTAGGGTAAGCAGAGATAAGCAATTTGATTGGTTGATGCTTTGGGACACGATAACTTTAGTTCTAATTAAGTGAGATTGATGAAACTTGGTGTATAGTTTCATTACAGTAATACCTTGACTAAGTTTGATAATGAGCATTTTCTGCTCAGGGTAAGCAGAGCGATACACAATTTGATTTTTATATGTGTCCTCTAATTATTTTCCTATTTCGGCGGGGGACATCAGCCTCACTGTTGGCTTGTTTTTCAACAATTAGTAATGTCAGGCAATCAAATCTCTGTCGATTCACTCCGATAGGTTTTTTCTTCAATCTAGCCGTTTTTATTTGAATAAATACTCCCAACAAAACGATATCATAGCCACTTGTTTCCAATATTTACATTATTTTCGTTCGTTAATGCTTGTCATTGACTCCATGAGCTATCGTCACAGAAAAACCTAACCCACCTCTGAGTCTGAAGTCTAGTATCCTTCCGCGTCAAAATCATGAATATTCACCAAAACCTCGCAGAAAATACATATTAAAACATTCTTCGATTCTACAACCAAAAGTCAACAAAAATCTCCATACAAAAGGTGAAAAACGGAAAGGGAGAGAGAAAAACTAAATATATCTTTGGCCCTTGTGTCAATGGTCTATTCACTGCGGATCGATTTTATGTGACGTCAGGCATTGCATTTCTGTTCTTTTTATACGCCACATTTTCATGTGGACGTATATTGTCGTCGCCCCTGTCCGTCCGTCCACAATTGTTTGTGAACAAATGTGACGTCAGGCATTGCATTTCTGTTCTTTTTATACGCCCACATTTTCATTTGGACGTATATTGTCGTCGCCCCTGTCAGTCCGTCCGTCCACAATTTGTTTGTGGACACTCTACAGGTCACAGTTCTTATCCGATTTTGACGAAACTTGAAATATAGGTTTATCTCCAAAAGATCTCGACTGCTATCGATATTAGCATGTATCGGATCGAAACTTCATGGATTATGGCCCCTGTTTGTACGAAAAATCACGTTTTTAGCTTGTGGACCCTATAGAGGTCATAATTTTTATCCGATTTTGTTCAAACTTGAAATGTAAGTTTATAACCCAAAGATCTCTGTTCCTTTCATTCTTCAATGTAAGTTTATAACCCAAAGATCTCTGTTCCTTTCGATATTCTCACATATAGGACCGTAACTGCCTGAATTATGGCCCCTGATTGTACAAAAAATCGCGTTTTTAGCTTGTAGACCCTATAGAGGTCATAATTTTTATCCGATTTAAAAAAACGTATTAATATATCACCGTTACACCCTAAGGACGACTCAGACCTATAGAGGTCACAATTTTTATCCAATTTTGTTGAAACTTGAAATGTAAGTTTATAACCCAAAGATCTTGGTTCCTTTCAATATTCGCGCATATCGAACCGTAACTTCCTGAATTATGGCCCCTGATTGTACGAAAAATCAGGTTTTTAGCCTGTGGACCCTATAGAGTTTATAATTTTTATCCGGTTTAGAAAAACGTGTTATTATATCACCGGTACACCCTAAGGACAGCTGAGGTCGAATTTCGTGACAATCAGCTCAAAATTGACAGACAAAATGGCCACCCTTCATTCTCAAATAGCGTAAAAATATGGTATATCAAGGTTGTGGACCCTATAGAGGTCACAATTTTTATCCGATTTTGTTGAAACTTGAAATGTAAGTTTATAACCCAAAGATCGTGGTTCCTTTCGATATTCGCGCATTATGGCCCCTGATTGTAGGAAAAATCACATTCTTTTTAGCTTGTTATCTATCCATCTCTCGAAAATGTGGGCGTATCCTGCCTGGCAGCCGCTTGTTATCCGATTTTGTTGAAACTTGAAATGTAAGTTTATAACCCAAAGATCTCGGTTCCTTTTGATATTCGTGCATATCGGACCGTAACTTCCTGAATTATTGCCCCTGATTGTACGAAAAATCGCGTTTTTAGCTTGTGGACCCTATAGAGGTCATAGTTTTAATCCGATTTAAAAAACGTATTATTATAGCACCGTTTAACTCTACGGACGGCTGAGTTCGAATTTCGTGAAAATCGGCCCAAAACCGACAGACAAAATGGCCGCTTTTCGTTCTCAAATAGCGTAAAAATATGGTATATCAAGTTTGTGGACCCTATAGAGGTCACAGTTTTTATCCGATTTTGTTGAAACTTGAAATGTTAGTTTATAACCCAAAGATCTTAGTTCCTTTCGATATTCGCACATATCG